GTCTTCGTGGATGTAACGATCATACCAGAGATAAGCTACGTAAGCCATCTTCGGGCGCACCAGTGTCGCCAAGACAGGATTCTAAGTGGTTGCCATGGCCGAAATTGGTCGGATGAATCATCATCTCCAGGTTTTAGGGAGCCAATCATAGTTCCTAGGATACCCATGACTGACTCACCCAACGGGATGAGATTAAAGATAACAAACGATAGTCAGCGTCACAAGTGACAGTGATCGGTTAGTCATAGCATCATGAGTAACTGGAAGTGGCATTTCATGGGAAGTCCCCCAACATTTACACAATACATGGAGATCATCTTTTGATTTGCATCTGTTAATAATTAACTTTTAAAAAAAATAAAACCGACTTCAAATGCGTGAACACAAAAAAAACTAAAAATTAAAAATATTGCGTATAAAAAAGTTCATCCCCAATTTTCCACCCTTGGGGGTGAAACATTTTCTTCAAATTCGCATTTCGATAATACCTATTCAACAAAAAAATAATCGTTCAAATTGATTTATAATCGGCGGAGATATTGCGTATAAAAAAGTTTATCCCCAATTTTCCACCCTTGGGGGTTGTTTTTTCTATTATTAAATTTAAATGGGACCACCCTTGAGGTATTACCTATACGCCGAAAAAAGATTTGTTCAAATCGGTTCATAATTGGCGGAGTTATCGCGTAACAAACATAGAAAAAAAACATACGGGTCGAATTGAGAACCTCCTCCTTTTTTTGAAGTCGGTTGAAAAATAACCCACACACGTGCGAAGAATAAAGGATTTTAACTGACGTAAACATTTAACTGTGAAGTTGTTCTAAAAAGACAATGGGACTTGGCCAAATGGAATAGTGTTTTGTTTTACTTTTCTGTGTAGCTGGTCGTAATCTGATTTTGTTCATTTAAGTGAGCAATATTGATTCTAGTACCTACCTACGTAATCAAAATGTGCGTAAAAGAATAATCACATCATGCATTCCCAATAACTTACGCGTTAACAATATTAGTAGGTAAATAAATTAATAAATGTAATTAATTTTGCAATCTATCATAATATTTGGAATTCCCCAAAACGCAGAAAATAAATTAATATTGTCTGCGTTACAGATTCCATCGATGTAAAATGTAAATACATCGATCGATTCTGTAATCATGCGCTTATAAAAGCGACCGATACATAATGTACCTATTAGTGTCCGACCGAATGTTCGGTTTCGGTTTCGTTTTCGGTTGAGTTTCGGTAAAAACACGAGTTTCGGTTTAGTTTCGTTTTCGGCGGCAAACTTGCCGAAACTACGACCGAAACCGAATGTGCATTCGGGAGTTTCCGCACTGTTATCGGTCATGTTCAGCGCGTTGAATGAGTGAATAATTTATTTATTTATTTCTCTTACAACATTTAGGAAAAACATTTCGTATAATATAGATATCTGTTAAACTATACATTAGCATTGTGAGAGCTGGTGCCTATTGTAGATTTTAAGAAAATCTGTATTACAGATTTTGATGATGATGATGATGATGATTATGAATCCGATCAGAGCCAATGTCGTGATTCGCTCGCTTGTTTGTTTGCTGTTAGTTTTGTTTTTTTGTGGTGGCGAGTTTTCGAGTGATTTATTTTAAATTTGGTAAGTTTTATCTCGTTTTATGTCGTTATAACATAAGAGCGGGTAGTAAACATAAAAAAAATATTCAATATGACTGATAAAAGTATAATCAAGTTTAATCTAATTAAATTTTATTTTTTGGTTCGCAAATGCCATATGTAAACAAACATTAGTTAGGTAGTTAGTAATGACTATAGTGCATTTCGTGGTGATAATTTATGGATTCAGAGTTTCAAAGTTCATTTTAGTATTTATCACCAAGGTATCCAAGTGGCAAGTACCTACACCTAAATACTAACTTACGTACTACCAATTTTGTTTAGAGAAAAGACCCGACCAAGGGACGGGTTATGTAGATGTCCTGAATATGGCGAGTAATTAAAAAAATCTAGACTATAAATCCTTCTTTTTCTTTTTTAATAGGTACATAATTTGACACCTTTTAGAGTAAAGAGAAAACATTAAAGACTGCCTGACTACAATAACGTTTTCTTTATTTAATTTTTTCCCTCAAAATATAAGCCTTGTAAGGAAGTTTCGGTTTCGGTTTCGGTTTCGGCCGAAATAGACACCGTTGCCGAAATTCGTTTTCGGTTTCGGTTTCGGTCGTAAAACTAGTTTCGGTCGGACACTAGTACCTATGATTAAAATTACGAGTATCCTTATCTAAAAATATAAAGTACATAGATAGCGTAACAAGTGCAGCGTACGGTGAATTTATGGCAATCGTTTGAGGTTCGACCATGAATCATAATTACAAATTGCCTATCATTTTATGAACGTATATTTTCTGATGCTATACTACTGTAAAATTCGAAGCAGTCTACTTAGGCTCGTGTAGGTAGACGGTAGACAGATCTTTCATTCATCATCATCATCATCATCATCATCTCAGCCATAGGACGTCCACTGCTGGACATAGGCCTCCCCCAATGCTTTCCATGTTACCCGGTTGGTAGCGGCCTGCGTCCAGCGCCTTCCTGCTACCTTTATGATGTCGTCGGTCCACTTTGTGGGTGGACGTCCCACTGCTGCGTTTTCCGGTACGCAGTCTCCACTCCAGAACTTTGCTGCCCCATCGGCCGTCAGTTCTGCGTACTATGTGCCCTGCCCATTGTCACTTTAGCTTGCTAATCCGTCGGGCTGTCAGCGACTTTAGTTCGTTTACGGATCTCATCCTTTCTGATTCGATCTCGTAAAGAAACTTCATTTTGATCTTTCATTACCAGTTGTTAAAGTTCAGACAGAGTCAGTTAACCACTGCTTCCCCCAAAGCACGAAGTCAACCACTGCCAACATCATCATCATCAAGTTATTTAGTCTCCCTTCACTGAGAAAGCTCGAACAGCTTCTCTAATTTACCAAAAGAAAATGGAGGCTTAGGCCTTCACTGCCCACGCCGAAGTATTAGGGAGGCTGTCACTGCCAAAAAATTGATTATATTCGTCGCTTTGTCTTGCTAGAGGGTATCTTAACTAGCCAAGACTTGGTCTCTACACTCTCTACCCAAGAATTCGCTGACCATGATCATCATTCCTTTGTAGGCAGGATCTCAGGCATTTGATCAGCATTCTGTTACTCCTATGTAATAATCTCTCCTTTGCCATAGCCACAAATAATTCTATTCATATTTTAATTAACTTATTTATCGAAATTGATTACGAAGGTCAACAATTAGGTAATCTGTGCTTGTTTAATAATTTTAAGCGATAGCAAACATGAGCTGGCTTCGGAAAACATTGGCCCGCGCCTTGCACCGACTCATAGTGATATGACGAGTAAAGTGTACTATAAACATAGAAACTGATTATTCAATTAACGCTCTTGGAATTTAGAATATAATAATATTAAAACAATTTTGACGTCATTAACGAGAGCATATTACTAGTAGCTGACAGAGTAAGCTTCCGATAGTGTAGACTCTCGAGGAATGTGTAGAGGGATCGATCGTTCGTTTCAGCCAAATGACGTCCACTGCTGGACAAAGGCCTCCCCCAAGGTTTTCCACAATGAACGGTCCTGCGCTGCCCGCATCCAGGCTCTTCCCGCGACCTTCACCAGATCGTCGGTCCAACTAGTAGGAGGCCTGCCCACGCTACCTCTTCCAGCCCGTAGCGCCACTCGAGATCTTTTCTGCCCCAACGGCCATCGTCTCTACGAGCTATGTGCCCCGCCCACTGCCACTTGATTTTACCAATTCTGCGAGCTATGTCGGTCACTTTGGTTCTCCTGCGGTAGAAGGATAGTTGGAAAGAACGTTTGATTGGTTCCGCATCATCTTCGCAATTTATGCACCTTGCTAAATTGCCAGCTTATAAACACTCAGCGCGATGATCCAAAATCGATTAGTGAAATGAAGGTTTATAGTTCCACGTCATTAATAAAGTCCCGCTAATCATTTGATCTCCACAAGGATGTAGTAATTTGGAGAAGGCCATTTAGTAAGCCAGAATTAAAATTTTTGACTATACAGTATAGAATAGAACTTCTATATTTCTCTCGTTCGCAATAAATGAGGTAATGCTACTGATAACAATACGGATCGCATTTTTTAGAGCTGATTTGTTTTAACACGAATTCCATTGTCCACTATGCCTGCATTTGATAGGCAATATACATGACAATATAATGTAATTCGAAGCTTTTCTGGAACTGAATGAAGACCTCGAAGCCTTATCTTAGGTTTAATCTTTGCACGCGGTACAATATTATACTTACCTCTCCTTAGTTTAATCTTCCATTTTACTAATGTTCACGAACTAGCAATAAACAGTTCACGAATAGACTAAAGTTTCATAACAGAAATTTTCAAATAGCGCTAAATAGGCGGCACTGACCTATGCATGTTATTGCTGAAAATATCTCGTGTTTACATACAACGTACTAAAGCAAGGTGAACAGGTGTTGTATGGAGTACTACTCCTACGTACAACAAATCTGTTATTTCTCAATGTTTTTTTGTACAGATTATTTATGGAGTCATAGCGCAGATCTTTTTAAATCTATGGTGCTCTTCTTGATCAATGTATACGAGTATCTTTAATTCTGGTGAGGATATTGCTTTGGACATGTCCTTAAAGACGATAGTTCAACAGTCAAGTCTTTTTTAGTTTGTATATCCTACTTATGACCATAGATAAGCAAATGTTCCAGAATCTTCCAGAAACTCAGACCTTCTTTAATTTTTAAGTAGGTAATAGGGATTTAATTAATGCTGCTGACAACGCCACTTTTGTAGCGGATTTGGGCTGACACTTGGTTTGTTGTCGACACGATAAGAAGATGTTTCTTTAAAAGGAGAAGCTCGCAAACCATACTCAATACTCATATTATCAAATCATTGCCCTAAAAACTGCCTTTTTATCCCAGCACCTTTGATTCCAGTACGACAAAGACAACGATGGCAAGATATCGTACGTGGAGCTCAAAGGGATCATAGAGTCCCGGGAGTACGACCACGACCTCCCCGACAATGTGGTGGACAAGATCATGGGCCTCGCCGACCGGGACAATTCGGGATACCTGGACTTCCCGGAGTTTGTGGAGATGATGCACCACCCTGATCTGAAGGCGGTCTTTGGACACTTCGTAGCTAGATACGTGCACTCCATCATCCCTCACAGGAACCCGGTTGATACTACAGGTAAGAAGGTTACAGACGATGGTACACACGGCCACACTGTTAACTATGCATTTCCGTTTTTGCAAATAGTGATTCTTTGCGATAGAACGAGACGACATGACCGGCAATGGGTAGTTAACACTGTTGCCGATGGTACATCCCCATAGAAAAGTGGCTAACGTGACAGGTGTACAACTCGATCGATTTAACTTAGCACCTCGCTGGAATGCGCCTCTCCCTCGCACTTACCCGCACATCCCCGCGTTCGCCCTGTTTGTACCAAAGCGTCGGACGGACGTCACGCCCGCCGGGTGCGCAGTTAACCTGACCGGGTTGTAATTCCGAAATTCCTACGCCCGGAGTGTAGGAATTTCGTTTTATTGTATGTAGAGTACTAGCACTTTTACAAAATTTACAACTGAAATGTTTTGCCACTTGTCTAGGGAGGGCTGATTGTATTTTTGATTCATAATAGCACGTGTTAGCTCGATTTGCCGTAGTCTGTACTGAAAACTAGATAATAATGTAGTAGAGTGATGTGGCACTGCCTGATGTTTTAAGTGATATTACCCGTTTGTTAAAATGTATCCTTGCTCGAAATGGAATGATATTGCAGGACTTAAAATCATTATATGAGATTTAGATGAGATTACTCTTTATTGCATGCTACACAACACATAAAATAGCAACTTTCTGTAAGAATCTTTTCCAAAGAACTGAGAGAAAAATTGTCATTTGGTAGCTCACCTCGAGCAATGGGACTGTTTCTACCTCTCGTTCCCACCGCTGCAACTCCTGTGTAGCCAGGATCTACAGCTTGACCGCCAATACATCAACAATCCCCTCGAGCAAGGATACGTTTTAACATGCGCCTGTTTGATAGTATTTTTTATTATTCTATGCTAGTTCTAGAGGTTCAATGAATAACGAAAGTATCCGTTATTATTGATATTTTAATTCCGATACAAACAAGCGCATAAATCGCATTCAGCAACGTTTAGTGGGACATGAAACCTATTGTTTTGAAATTAATAGACGTGGGAATAAATGTAATATCATTTTACGATCCATTCTTACGAGGAGGTAAAATAGGTAAAGATGTTTGTAATCACGAAATCCCAACTAATTTTATAAATGCGAAAGTAACTCTGTCTGTCTGTCTGTCTGTCTGTCTGTCTGTCTGTCTGTCTGTTACGCTTTCCCGCTTAAACCTCGCAACCGATTTTGATGAAATTTGGCATAGAGATAGTTTGAGTCCCGGGAAAGAACATAGGATAGTTTTTATCCCGGTTTTTGAAACAGGGACGCGCGCGATAAAGTTTTTCTGTGACAGACAAAATTCCACGCGGGCGAAGCTGCGGGCGGAAAGCTAGTTCATAATAAATTCTATACTCTTAGGCCCAGAACACACGGTGAAACGCAATTGCAACGAAACTGCAACTTCTAGTTGCCATAATCTATGGCAGAAACTTAGATGCAACTCAAAAGTAACTAGAAGTTGCAGTTTCGTTGCAATTGCGTTTCACCGTGTGTTCTGGGCCTTACAATAACACTATTAAAGCCATGAAAAGGCAGTAGACCAATTTTATTATTATAGACCTTTCAGTCTTGCTACGTTTGGTAGTAACTAAGACAGATAAAAGAATAGTTATAGAGATTGGAACTCTGAAAAAGTATTAAAGTAAAGCCTGGTCCGTGAGCACGTAGAATTTTGTCCAATGATGAAACCGTAGACCTTCAGGTAGCAATAAGGCTTACTATGAGCCACTGGTGCCTATGAGTTTTAGTCAGTCTAATTTACAGTTAGCGTCAAATAGTTCGTGACACCCAAAGTAGACAAAAGGTTCGCAACACGTTTTTAATAATGAATAAGGTTGTGTTGTCAACTTTTGGCCACTTTGGATGTCAGCACATCAAGCTATCCATTTTTTGATGCAAACTAGCACCAATTACAGCTACTAAAATATGCTCCAGTTTCTATCTTGATGTTCTGTCGTCCTTACATCTCTATGAAATTATGATGACAATGAGACAAGACAAGCTCAAGTGGAGCATCCCTCTTTTACTCAGCAAGTTTTGGACTGCCTCTATATTTCATAATTAACTAGGTCTACTATTGTAGCCATTAGTAAAAAACCTCGGGAAGTTTCCAATTTGGTCGTCGGGTACATGACCAGTGAAACCCAGTGTCAACGCTCTATGCTAATTGCACGGCCAATATTGGCGCAATGGAAACACACAGCGTAGGTTAACTCTAGATGGTTAGCTGACGTGCGACAGAAAAAAATACTCGTCATTTTGTCTCTTTTTACCCGACTACGTAAAAGAGGGTAAAAATGTGTTTGACTTGACTTGACTTAAGGTCCTATGTCCCCTAGATGGGGCAGAGGGCGTCCACAACAGTCCTCCATCGCGTTCGGTCTTGAGCTTCGCGTTTGATCTCGCTCCAAGTCTTGCTTTTCTTAGCCTCGTCTGGTAATTTGTTTAAAAAATATTATATGTGTGAGATCTACCCGTGCGCCGATTTTGAGAAATCGTATGTCATTCGATTTGTCTCAATATTGCGAATGTCACTGAAGACATCTATTAATCCTGTATGGCGGCGCTCTACACCAATTTTATGACACAAACGTGACAGTTGTAAGGTTGTAACTCCGAAATCGCTTAGCTCCGGTGTTTTTCTTCTTTTTTTTACTTCGCTCCATGAAACGGTTTCGAAATTGAAACTAACTCTAATGTTACTTTCTATAACTATACTTCTAAAGAAAAAATCAAGTACCTATAAAACCTACCGTGGCTTTTCATATTATTTGCGTTGTTTAAACAACAAACGCGTCTAAACTATAGTACCTAATTAAGCTATAGTAGTTAAGATAGGAATGTCGCACTTTCTATTTCCAGAAGTAATGGAATATTGTAAATTGGATAAAGAGAGCATGATTTATTTTCTTTCTGATATTATAAATACGGTTCTATATTGGCTCACATAAAATTCTAAATCCTATTCTTTGTCTTACTACCGATTTGTGTTCATAATAATCTCTCTTCATAATTTTATTTTTCATACTTTTTTTATTCATACATTTTTATTACTACCATCGGAGCTCATAACAGTTAGTAATCATAATTTTTTTATCAATACTGTTACTACCAAGAACCATTTAAAATACATAATTTTTATTTTCAGATCTTTTTTCTTCATAACATTCATTGATCATATTGTTTTAATTAATAATGTTGTTACTAAGAACATACTTCAACTCATAATGTTGTTGTTCAGAATAATTTACTTTATAACAGACATACTCGTATCTTTAAAAAAATCATATATAATTTAATAGAGTAGATAAGCATGCAGAGCATGCAGCATGAAAGCAAGCATGCAGCATGCATTGGTATCTCCTCGTCTCCGGCGCTGCGGGATGTGCAGCCCTTCCGCCCTTGCGTAACGAGGCTCAGGCACCCACGCTAGCTTCCGCAGCTTCGGCTTTTTGGATCGCCATCGGCGCCTCGGCGACCAGCCTCAGCCGCTCCAGCTCACCCGGGCGCCTGAGCCTCGTTACAGCGGGCGAGGGCTGCCCTCCCTCCGCGCCTCCGGCTTTTAAATTACACTCTAGGGGTAGGGCAGACAAGACTACGTGGAGTCGGTTTTGCAGCGATTCGTTTCTATCACGTTAGTTTTGTGACACAAAATATTGCCTGTTTTGGACCATTTCAAATTAATTTAATGTTAAAATACGATTTAATATGAATATAGACATCATGATTTTCAATAATATGGATAAATACACTTATGAGTAATAAATTTATGAAAACAAATATTAGGATACATCACATTTATGAATATTATAGTTATTTATTCGAATGATTATGAGTTTCGATCATTATTATAGAAAAATGTATGAAAACAAATATTAGTAAAAACTAAGTGTATGATTAGTGATATTATGAATATCAATGATTATGTTTTTAAATATGTAAGTTTTAAATTTTTTATGAAGAATGATCATTATGGTATCAAATTGTATGAGAAATATTTTCGGACCTCCAATGATAGGAATTGAAAAGTTATGTAAGAAAATGCGCTACCTATAAATACTTATCCGCCTCTGTGGTCTAGTGGTAAGACCACCTGCTTCAGACGCAGAGGTCCCGGGTTCGATTCCCAGTGGGGGCCGATTTTTCTGTTCGGTTTGGTTGGTGGTAGGGCTTGTTCTAAGTCCACCTGGCTAGCTACCACCATCTTACCTAAGTCTGCCATAACAACAATGTTAACAGCATTGTTGTGTTCCGGCAGTTAGAGGTAAGATAGCCAGTTCCTCCGTGGTTGAGGATTCCGGGTGAAGCTCGCTTCCACCTTCGGCCTACCATCCATTAGGTGAGATTGAGATACAGGCCAAGAGCTTCCTCGTTGTAAATAAAAAAAAAATGACTTTAAATTGCTATACACATAAGTACCTAATGCAAAAAAATAGGCGCATAGAAAGTATTAACTTTACGCTTCATGTCCCACTAAACATTTTCGTTAACACTTTAACAACCGCATTCACAAACGATGCTTACTTAAGTGAAGCAGCAAATCGAACGCACAGCGTTGAATAGAGCTCTGTGATTGGTTCGTGTCTCACCCTGTGCGTCCACGCGCACTGTGAGACCTCATAGTAATGTTTGAGAATACGGACGTAACTGTCCAGTTGACATCTTGTTACGCCCACTTATTATTTTAATGTGATTATTATGGATAGTCAACGTTTTAATTGATTCTTTTGTTTTCAATGAACCTGTAGTCTGTAGTAGTTGTTTGAAGACTAAACCAGTTTAATCATTATTTTTACTCCTTGAACTGTTGAAAAGAGTTATTATAACGTTAGTCATACAGAGTCCATGACCGAGTTCGAGCCACTAGCAAAAATGTATAAAAATCATGAAAATCCACAACTATAATAATTATGTTATGTGGCTCTGCATTTTCAATTTCTGAATTACGGACTTAAGTTCCTGCTACTAAATAAAATAATTAAACTGGTTTATTTTATGAGAATTTTTTGACATCCATGGCTATCTAGATTTTTGTGATTTCTATGTAGAAATTAAACAATACCTACTTTTCATCTTAAGACAAAATTAATTTAAAATCACAAAAGTCTAGATTCTGTGGAGTTTTACTATATCCTGAAATCCATATCCAGAATCTGTATAGACCTAGCCCGTCTTTGTGAATGCTGTACTATTTTGTGAATAGCATGCATTAGTTTTAAGTAACAATTTACTTTATTATCTATAGCATAAATACTAATTTTGTTTGTTAGGAAGGTGGCCTGGCTTCAACGCAGTTTCTACTAGTGACGGCGGTAGACTATTTTTTTTTTCTCTTTGTCATTACATTTTTTTTATCAAAAAATTAAAACAGTGCTATAGTTCTGACTTTGGAATGCTTTGTCGCTTTCTGTCAAATGGTTAATTCATATTGAAAGAAAGAGACAGTGTGTTTTAGTTGAAACATGTTTTAGGACTGTTTTAGTTTTTAAGAAGGGGATTCATGATCATTGGGTCTCTCTCTAGTCTCTACGTGACGTCGAATCGGGATTTCGATTGATTCATTTTCATAATCGATCATTTGCCTGTGGGAAAACATTTTGTTCAAAATCATTGGTCTGTTAGTTCATTTGGTTAAATATTTTGGGTTTATTCATTAAATTTCATATATGGGCGTGTGCATGTATTGTATCGACATACATAAGTATAATAAAGGAGAATAATTTAAATAACCAAACGTAGTATCAAAGTACATTTTTGAAGTAATCAGTGAGCTATAATGGTCAATCTTAGAATATCATCATTACTTACCATCGAGTGATATTTATGCCAAATTGCAAATACAAACTTCGTATTATGAAGCTATTTAAAATATAATCAACACTGGAGTTGGCCCATTTATTTATTTTCCCGAAGCAGTGGAAGGGTTAAAGTATAATTGGGATTTGTAAAAGCGCTTTTTTGTAGAAAATAAATTACTTTTAAATGTCTTTTTCAAGCATAGGTATAACAAGCCTGCAAGTCAGTTGTAATTCTCATTTGGGTCAAGTATACGAATAAGTTTCGTTCATAAGTCTCAAATAAAATAAAATAAATAGCGAATAAATCTCACTGCCAAAGAACCGTGAGCAGTTCATTAGTAAAAATATTTTCTCACGTACGTAGGGTCGCGGGTTCAAGTCCCAGCACGTGCTCGCATTTCGTAATCTACTACTGATTAGGCACTTGTATTTGTATTATGGGAACCGAAACTAGGACTTTCCAAACTGCTTTGACCATTTACTTTGACGGCTACATAATGACACTTGCGTCGATAAAGTTGGATATATCTTTCGCGTCTTAAAACCTTACGGGAATACTTGTCTTCGAAATCCATGATAAATTAATAGAACAAAACACACGTCATATCAATATTTTCTCGACATAGGCAGAAATAAACCTTCCAGAGGTTTGGTAGTCAGACCACTAGACAAAAAAATTCGTACTGGTGGTGGTGCCAAAATCGTCCCCTGAAGGGCTCTCCTACCTAGGTACCTACTTAAGGTGGCATTAATTATGTGAATCCATATTTTTATGGATACTCCACATAATATTTACTTATTATAATATAGGAAACAATACTTCTCATCCTCATTTCTTGAGCAATCCCATATCACAAGGACGCTAACATTGTATTGTACAATTTCTCATTATTTTATTGAGTTATCGCTGTGAACGTGACTTGCTACCTCTGATGTCATGCCAATTTGATTGGGACATCCAATGCTGCCAAGATTTTTGTAGACAAATGACAATAATAAAAAGCTAACAAAAAATTACAATTGTAGTAATTGTAACTCCTCTCTATCTCTTCCCAGTCTTTTATACGAGAATAACTCTAAATATGTCAAAATGACGAATAACTGACGATTTATTCTGAAATTAATATTTACTCTTGTTTGGTCGAATCCACCCTCAGTGGCAGAAAAGTTCACTCATCATCATCATTTCAGCCACAGGACGTCCACTGCTGAACATAGGCCTCCCCCAATGATTTCCATATCGCCCAGTTGGTAGCGACCTGCATCCAGCGCCTTCCTGCTACCTTCATGAGGTTGTCGGTCCACCTTCTGAGTGGAAGTTCACTCACATTTCGTAAATTACCTTTTCGGAAGCCCGATGCTTTTACCGCACGTTTTAGTTCAGCTAGTTCTTGACCATATTATTATGGGCCTAAACATCAGGTCATGGTCTCCTTCCACTGCAGCAGCACATCTAAAGATCTCTAAATTACCAAAAGCAAATGGAGGATTTGGCGTTAACCCCCCACATGCTCATCGATTCAACCGATAGATTAAAATATGGCACGTAGTTAATATGTACTTAAGTACTGTTCTAATCCATTATGGCGCCTAATGGGATTTCTAAGTTTGTTCACAACTCCAAAATAAGTCAATTTTTATGTAACTAACTCATTGACGATGGCGTCAGTGCGTAGACAATGACTCACCGTGATTTTGGTAAATTCCAGAGCATGTCTCGACTCCATAATCACGAATGAGTAAGTAACGCATTGTGCGATAACTTTATTAATGTTCTTTTATAATTATGAAATTATATTTTTTACTGTGTGACCTCAAATTGGAACGCGTAACTTGTTATGTGGAGACCGTGTCTCGGTTTAAGCATAGAGTAGGCTCTCCAGCTAAATAGAGAGACAACTTGCGAAAAGTCTTCGAAAGTTAGATAGGAAAAGTTATCAGAAGGAACAGGGTGAAATGGCGCGTGTTGAGCAAATCATACGTCCAACAGCGGACTTGTATAGGCTGATGATTACATAATGTTCATCTAGTCGTTCGTTCGTTCGTTCGTTTCAGCCAAATGACGTCCACTGCTGGACAAAGGCCTCCTCCAAAGTTTTCCACAATGCACGGTCCTGCGCTGCCCGCATCCAGGCTCTTTCCGCGATCTTTACCAGATCGTCGGTCCACCTAGTAGGAGGCCTGCCCACGCTACGTCTTCCAGCCCGTGGTCGCCACTCGAGAACTTTTCTGCCCCAACGGCCATCGTCTCTACGAGCTATGTTATCTAGTCACCATAATACAAACAAACTATGCTTAGAGTGTTCTGCTAGAACTTTTCTGACTATTACCATTATTGTTCTGTGCTATTACTATTGTAACGTTTGTCTTTGAGTATCCAATTGGGGGCAAGTAAGAATGTTAATTGACAAATTGTACACTGTTTCATGACATCTTGAGTGGCAAGGCAAGTCCTGAGTATTGAGTCACCTAGAGTATCATGCACATCCAAAAATAGTTACATACATATAGGGTTTCTGATTTCTCGACCTATTTTTTTTCTCGAGTTTCGAGAATTCTCGAGGCTAAAGTCTCGAGTTTTCTCGGGTCTCGAGTCTTTTAATGAAAACTGTTGAAATCGGTTGAAATTTAATAAAAACACAGGTTTTTTAATCTAGTATACCTACTTTTATTGCCCAACAGTCAATATTAGAATTTAGTACCACTTATTTTGGTAAGGAAAGAAACAAAAAATAAAATCTTCTTTCATAATTAATATTAGCTAATAATCATAACGAAAGTCATAAAGTCGCGTGTACTTTAAGGATAAATAACAATAAAAATCTGGAGCTACGACTGAATCACTTGTTTTTCAAAGAAAACAAGTCCAAATAGCAAAATTACTATAAATAGATTTTTTTTATAATAAAAAAAACATTTTTAATAAATTTTTAAATTTCTTAAAGATTAACAAATTTAACCCCCTTTAACAAATTTTTCAGTATTTAAATCACTCGGAGTTAAACATACATAATTAATATGCCATACTCGTTGGTGAACATTATTACTTAGTTTCGACTGAGATCATTACTTGCAAAACAAATTAGTTAAAAAAGGAAAGACTAGGCCAGTCTAAAAGCAACATTAACCTGTTAAATAATTAAAAACTGACTTTTGTCTAAGAAAATAGACTTTCTAGAATATTAAAGCTTCAAAATCGAAACTCGAGAATTCTCGAGCTCCGGTAATTTTTTTCTCGTCTCGAATGAAGCCAAATTTCTCGAGTTTTCTCGAGTTCGAGAAAGCTCGAGCAGAAACCCTACATACATACCACTGACCCAATCCAGTGTTAAATATTTATAATTGATGTCAATTGACTAATTGAAATCATGGTTATTTAGTCCAGCGATAGACTACTAAACAAAGGCTTGAATCTCGCAAGAAACAAATATTTATTCAGAAGACAGCACTAGATTTTTGTTTGTAGCAAAAGCACTCCTAATGCAACTGTACAAAGATGTCACAGTTTAGATTGCTATTTGCTCTTTACCAACCAATTTGGGCACCAATATTTGTACCAAAATTTTGTACAAATAATTATGATAAATTAATTGTGTGTTAAAATATTTTATCTCCACTTCAATTAAGCCTAGGCGCAGACCACCGATTTTAGTTGGCCGATAGTTGGGTCGGGCTGTTGATCAGTATGGAGATGTATGAAAGTGATGTATCGGCCGATTCTTCATACAAATTAGAGTCGGGCCCAACTATCGGCCAACTAAAACCATCATACATACCTTATTACCTAGTAATAGGTGACCAGTTTGTCCGTTACATTTTTTCGACAGTACGATGTTGTAAATAAAACAAATAGTATAGTAAGATAAGCACCGCAATTTTCGGTTCTCCGAATCCGAATATTTACAATAAACTGATGTAGTAATCCGTTTTATCCGTATCTTATCATGTATCTGTCGACCTTCGATGTTACACTTACGATAACTTTGCATGCCGCTCCCCGTTCGTTTCACCCTTTGTCCACCGCTGGACAATGGCCTCCCTCAAGGATTTCCATAATGACCGATCCTGCGCTGCCCGCATCCAGGTAATTCCAGCGATCTGCACCAAATCGTTGGTTCACCTAGTAAGGGGCCTACCCACACTACGTCTTCTAGCCCGTGGTCGCCACTCGTCAACTTTTCTGCCCCAGCGGCCATCAGCTCTACGAACTATGTGCCCCGCCCACTGCCACTTGATTTTAGCAATTCTGCGAGCTTTGGCGGTGACTTTGGTTTTCCTGTGGATCTCCTCATTTCTCCTCATTTTGCCGCTCCTCACCGTAACCTAATGGATGTAGATATAATTCGTTCGCCTATGGTAAATTGACAAGATAAGGTCTTCAGTGGATACTAGTGACTAACCGGGCTAAGATGCCTGGCAGGATAAAATCCCATCGTTGACTTTAAACTACCTCGATAACGAGACTATTCCCACCTCTCGTTCCCACCGCTGCAACTCCTGCGTAGCCAGGATCT